TCCAAGTTGGTGAGCTCTAAGGCATAGTAGAACCAAATTTAAGTGCATACATTTATAGATATATGAGAGCCACGAAGTATAATACGAGTCCATAAAATATTATTAATATTGTATCCATAAATATTATCTATGTCAGAGCTCATGTCAGATTCTATATCCGTTGCCTCAGAAATTATCGAAAAAAGTATTTTTGGAGATAAAATTACGTTTTGCGTATAAACAGACATTCTCTAGATCTTCTGAGCTATATCGATAATAATCATGACACTTCGAATGAACTATCACTATAATCCTTACATAATACTTTCTATAATAAGCAATGAGGAAGTATTAAAAAAAAAAACGAAAGCACTTAAAAAGCACCCCCACTACATGGCCACTCTAGCAAAAGTTAATATTTGCAGGAAACGAATCTATTATGGACTATGGACCAAAGGCAGTCACTTCCGTTCCTTTTAACTAAATAAAAAAATTGAAATTTGAAAAGTTCAAAACTTAGATATCAATACAAATACGATACAGTACAAATAGAATATGAATTGTTTATTGAGTTTTGGAAAACAAATTTACTTTTAAACAAGAAAGAAAACCGGAAAAGTTGTCATAGAGAAAACAAGAACGTACCGCAACATCTTGTTTGATTTCGGGAACTAATGTTTTTTTTTAAATACTTCCTCATAATTTATGTAGTAGGTTGGCCAAGAATATCTGTCGATATAATTATCGATAGTAATCAGAACTACAAGACTCAAGGCGACATATATATATTTCTTTCTCATTGTTATGCAATGCATGTTTGTCATGCTTTTCTCAATGCATCTTTTAAACTCGATTCCTCTCACTTTTGCTATCGAGCTGATTTTACAACTTCTGTTTTGTTTAATGGTTAAAACATTGTTGTAATAATATTTAAGCTAGTTGTGTACATTTGTATTGGCCTGTGGCGGTTTTATGTACCAATCAAATAAAAATAAAATAAAATAAAAATAAGACAATATCATGAATATGTCAAGAAACTATTACTATCGAGCAACAATACTCATCCAAACTCTCATTCAACACTTTTTTTGACGCTTACATTGATCACGCCTAGGTTTACCATTAGCAATTAATACGGATGATGCCAACTACATTATAATAATATCTTGGCAGGAGTCTCCCAAAACTGTTGACTATGATTGATTGCAGTAGTTCTTAACTACTGTATTACTATATATAAGTGAAGCATCTTTCGCAGGGGGTGGTCATGATGGCAGATCAAAAATTAATATCTCAAAACCTTCCTTGCTGCAGAAGGCACGTTAAGCCAAAAATTCGGGTTGCAGTCGTCAACACCCTCCAAACCGCACTGGGCCCGAATAATAGTTTATAGTCCATTCTCCCTACTCAGTCTGATTTGATTCGCATAATAGAAAATAATTATTAGTATTCTGTGTCCTATCACATGACAGGCTTTACTTATTATAATTAAATTCATACTTATTTTCTCTCCTATTTTGGACAACATCATTGGAGTTCGGGCCATTAGGTAAATATATATATATTTATTTACCTAATTATATATATCATACTCCTAGGGTCATTCAATGGTTTTTAACGATTGCATTGAAGATGGATTAAGGGTTTTTAAGACAAAGTAAACTAAACTAGTACTCTGGCTACATCTTCAAGTAACAACTTGTAGATATAGCTAGAGTACTTGACACACAAGAATATATAATGCTGTATTCTCGTGACTTTCTCGCCTAAATTATAATCTGTGTCACACGCGTATGTTGTTGTTCCCAAAGATAAAAGAATTTTTCAACCCGGTCGGTACAGTAGAGTCTAAGTCTAATCAATACAATCAAATCTTTCCTCTATACAATATTAGTTTACATATCATTATTCGAAGACTGACCTTTTCGAAAGTGGTTTAATCTTAACACTAGCTTATACCCGCGACTTCGTCCGCGTGGTAAAGTTACTCTGAGCAGCATTTCTAATGAATATTTATTCAATATATCGTGTAAAAAACCTGAAATAAAGTTTTATCCCCTATTTTATCGCCTTAGGGCTGGAATTAACCAAAATCCTTTCTTAGGGGATGACTACGTCATAGTAGCTTTATGCATGCAAAATCTCAGCCCGATCAGTTTAAAATCGACAAAGTTTTATACAATATTTCATCCCCTATTTTATCCCCTATTTTATCCCCTTGGGGGTGGGATTTATCAAAATTCTTTCTTAGGGAATGCCTACGTCATAGCAGCTTTATGTATGCAAAGTCTCAGCCCGCTCGGATTAAAATTGACAAAGTTTTATACAAATTTTCATCCCCTATTTTATCCCCTTGGGGGTAGAATTGATCAAAATCCTTTCTAAGCGGATGCCTACGTCATAACATCTACCTGAATGCCAAATTTCAGTCTGATCCGTCCAGTGGTTTGAACTGTGCGTTGATAGATCACTATGTCAGTCAGTCACCTTTGAGTTATAAGTATATATTTAGATAGAGCTCAGAACCGTTTATAATAATTATTTGGCGCGTTGTACCAACATACATTAACTTTTAATGAAGATTTTACACTCTAATGAACAATGGTAATGAAAGCTGTTTTAAACTTAAGTTAACTTTAATGGACGTCTGTGCAACTGGGTGAGTATCTTGTAAAAAGGTTGTCTGATAAATACATTCTGTAACTAAATTTCTTGAGACTAGAAAAATCTCATTCATTGAATTGTTCGAGAATATTCAGTTTTATTCCTTGAGAATAAATTTACTTGTTTTTTTATTATTCTAAGAACGGTATGTATCATATACTTTGTGCATTTAACATACTGTTTATCATAACGTTGTGCATGAAACGGGATTATTTAAGTCACCTCACGGAATTAATTTCGTGGATACACATTACTAAGAATAAATTTATTACTTATATTTTTTTTGTATGTTTATATTCTCAATTTTAAATATTTTGACTACAGATTAAAAGATAGGATATAATTGCTAAGAATTTTGGTCAAATATGTTGATAAAATTTACTTTATTCAGACTGTTCCGTACTATAACTTTGAAAAGGTGTCGAAAATACTTTTGAACGAATTTATAATCAACGAATTCTATTTAAACAATTTTTGTGCGCATTATTAACATGTTTTTGAACAGTAGATCGTCGAGAAATTATTATTATAAGAATTTTTTTTATTATTATTATTTACTACTTTAGAGCTGTAATTTTTTGCTTTTGTTGTTTAGGAGCGGAAACGAAACGATAATAGAATCCAAATATGATAAAAAAAATATTCAGCATCCATTATACTCATTTAATGAATTAATGTCTATGCATTTGGATGAATCTTCATTCCTACATATAGATGGGTAAGATTAGGATTACTAGTAAGGATAAACTGACTATCTTAGTGCCTAGATATTTGATACTTCATTTTTTGTATTATTGCTAAGCATATTTCGCAAAGGTCGGTCACGGGATAGGTAACCAAGAAATTATTATCTCGAGCTACTCCGTGCTTCGAAAGGCATGTGAAGCCTTGTAAGGTACCGGCTGCATTTTCAGTAGTAAGTATTATCCAATTTACACTGGTCCAGCGTGGAGGGCATGACCCTCCGATCCTTCTTAACGAATATCCATAAAGAAGGCCTGAGCCCCTGTAGTGGGGACGTAAAAAGGCTGATGATGCCGTTATAATTAAAATTAGTTTTTAGATGGAACGCGATTTACTCTGTTAGAATTTTTTACCAAATGTTTTTATTAATTTAAATTAAATAATACTAATAAAACTAGTACTAGTTCTACTAGACAAGACGCGTTTTTTAGAAGCAAGCATTTACCTTGTATGAATTAACATAACAACTGCCAGCCTATTCTGTTTGATTTCGAACGAAAATTTTGAATCACTCTTATAATTTTGATAAATGCATATCCGTGAAGATTTTCTGTGCATCCGAGGCAGTGTATGGTTGCATCTCTGTTGCATCAAAAATTATAGAAAAATGCGTTTCTTTGGAGTCGTATAAGCATTTCGAAAATAGAGGAAGATTCATTATGGATGAATGCATAATTCGCTAAAATATCAAACTACTTCCCGTTGAAAACTTGTGTATCTAACCGTATGCATATAGTAACTAAAAGATTGCGTTTTGCAAAAATAGAAATTCATGGAAGTAGGCACAGTCGAGTTGCTCACGGAACTCGATTTTCGGACGGTTCAATTGCAGAAATATTTTTTCCTTTATTACCTATCTCGAATTTGAATTGTTGCTATATGCTGTTTGTATTATGGTATTGCTCGGTTAACATTTTATTTTATTTTATATAGTTTAAATTGTTAGATGATTCTTATAATTAAATTTTATTGCAATATAAAATAGGATAAAAAGTGTTGTAAACAAATGATTTTACAGACTTTGAAGATTTGAAATGTTACTATCATCGAAAGAAAAATGTCAACAGAGCCTTACGCATGTGTTAAATGATCAAATACTAGCTGATTTCTGCGACTTTGCCTTCATTAATTATAGCTCGTGCTTAAAATTTGCTTATGATTTAAATGTAGGTGTTTGTTTTTAATTCAATGTAAAATAAACGATTTGAAAAATTCCACGTTATAATATAGTAGGTAGTACTGTAGTTTTAAGAAATAACAAGTAATATTTACTATAAAATTTATTATTCAATTAGAATCATATGGCATCACAGATTTCATAAAATACTTTAGCACCACTCATTTATTATACTTAAATAAAAATAGATTATGATTCTGAAATCTGACATATTTAAAAATATAAAAATATCTGTCTTTCCCAAATTAACTAGTTTTTAAAAATAAATTTGACAAAAATATTAAAGCTTTTTTTTCTTATTTGAGTATGAAATTGATAACGTTACAATAACAACAAGCAAAATTTAAGCATTCTAACCAAAACTAGTGCACATTAAATAACTACTAGAATTTACACTATGCTTATGAAATAAAAATTTATTATTTTTTTCACAACGCTATTGGTGTTGATAGCCACCGAAGATTGATTGAGCAAATTTCCCGAAGTATTGAACAGGTGGAAAAGCTGGACTTGCTAAAGGTACAGAAGCTGGTTGAGGGGTCTGGATCAGATATTTAGGGTTTTGCTGATATAACTGAGGTTGTATGTGAGTAAACATAGGTCCAGGTCTTAAGTAGGAAATATGCCTTGCAGGATTTACTGGAAGAGTTTTTGTGGAAGCAGTAGAAATGCTTTCTTGAGAAGTTTTGGAATGGCCGTTTTGGACATTTTGTAGCTGAACTTGTTGATTCTGGTATTGGATTTGTGGTTGAATTGCTAACTGTTGTTGCTGCTGTTGCGGTTGAACTTGCACTCGATATAACTGCTGTACTTGATATTGAGGCTTTGGCTGGTATTGTTCACGTTGTTGTACAAAGGAAGGTGTTGGCGGACTCTGTGAGAAGCTTGCGTAACTTATTGCTCCTTGAGATTGAACATTGTGTTTCTGGAACAGTAATTAATTAATTTATAATATATGAATTATTGAGTTTACGTTTAAGGCTTGAGAGAAATTTGTTAGGAAAGTAGAGTTATGAACTTTTTATTTTCTACTCATTATATCAATGTAAGGTAACTTATAATTTCATTAATTATATCTCGATTATACTATCTATTTATTAAAATTTGTCGAATATATTGCTGAAATCCTTTATTTAGTAGGTACCTAAAACCCTTGCGTTTTAAAAATCCGTAACAACGACATTATCACCCAAGTAAGAATCAATATATTAAATATATAAGTGCCTTTATTTAATTTCAAACCGCATTGAATCTGTTGTGAAGTTTAAAAAATCTCAGTGTACATACACCGGGATTTGTTTTATACTATGTATAGATAGATGATAAAAATACAGATAAGATGCAATCAGTCCGTGCATTGGGTCTATCGACCAGTCCAAATATTGCTTACATTATTATAATATAATTGTCATTTTACCTCTTCATGTGATGGAGCTTGTTTTTCATAAGTTTCGCCATCATTTCGCTGCTCTTCTGTTTTAGATTCTTGACCATGTTGCTGTTCATTATTCGCATGATTGGGCTCTTCACCAACGTAGGTAATACCTGGCTGCGCAGGCAGGACTTGAATTAGATTCTGTTGTTCTTGGGGATAAACTGCCTGTTGTACGTATTGTTGAGAGGGTACAGCATTTTGAATATACTGCACAGGTCTTTGTATTTGGATAGGAAATTGAGCAATATGCCGATAAATAGGTTGTGGCACTAATTGTGGTTGATGAGAATATAACGCTGGCTGTGGCTGTATTAATATTTGTTGTTGGTAAGGTTGTTGATAATTAATTGGCTTGGCGAAATTTGCTTGTTTGGGGGCCTGTAGTTTCTGGTTGTATTGTAGTGGCTGAGTGTATTGTATGGCGTTTTGCGGCGGTTGGTACGATATCTTGTGCTCGGAATAGGCTAATTGCGATGCTATCGGAGGGGATACTTCGTAAGTTGTCGGGGTGCCGAGCTGCAAACAAAGTTATTTAGATTAGCAGATAAACTTGCTGAGGGTTTGTTGCTGTTGGCTAGAGTTTTAAACTTTCGATTAAATTTTAAAATTAAGATTTAGCAGGAACTTATTAATATATCTTTAAGGAATACTGTCTGTTCTTTTAACATCTAAAATACTTTTTTAGTATAGATTTTATTCTCATTAATAAAACGTTGAGGTAATTTAAATCTCGGAGGAGATAATATTGTAAGATGTTTATACAATTTTAGTGCTATTAATAAACAAGGTTTAGCCAAAGTAAATTTACGCTAAAATTGCAATTTTAGTATAAGTTCGAATTCATGTTATACAAAGTATAAGCAAACTTTTTTGGAGTAAATATAACACCTGTAAAATCTCGTACGAGGTTAACCTTGTTAAGTCTCTGTTTTATAATATGATTTTTTAGTAATAGTGCAGTATCAACGTAAATTTACTCCAACGCTAAACCTTGTTTATTAATAACATCGTTAAAGATTTTTTTTCTAGTTCAAGCCAATCATTACATTTAATGATGCTATTTTATCATATTATGATTCACTTTTAGCAACAGTTTGGGATGAAGAGTTGAAGAGATGTTGTGAGAGATAAAAATACGGTGTTGATGTTATGAGTCTATCTAAATTTGGTATATGCAATATGCAGCGTTTCTCAAATGACCATGATATTATTATATAAAATACGAGAGTCTGGTGTTGTCATACAGAGGATCATAACTTACCCTCGCTTGGTAAATGGACACAGGGGCGTAGAGGTGGCTAGCAATAGCCGCTTGGTAGGGTGGTCCTTGCCCTGTCAGCACATCAGAGATCTTGGCTATTTGCGGCAAGGGAGTTGCGTAAATTTGCTGAAATAAAGGATAGCTTTGTGTGAGTAATATATAATTCAAAAATATATTATTTACTTTAAGTAACTCAAAAGACAGCATCAAATTTTACACTAACATTAGGTTATATTATCTTTTGTATGAAATAACCAATTATGAATTACTGAGTATTATACAAATACAAATGATTATCATTATTAAGAAATGTATATTCTATTTTGTTAAATAAATAAGGCGATGTATTTACAAAACTAATCTTTAGATGAAAATGAAGTCATAAACTATTAAAAGTTAATCGACAAAGATTTCTTTGTGTTCATCAGCCATTGATGCGCATCAATGTTTTAATGCCCTGACCTTAATTAATGTAATCAATTTATTGTCGGGATCTTGATAAAGCTTTTGTACTTTTACATCTTGAATCTTTTGTCTATAGATAAATGAATGTTTTAGTTGGATAAAAACGTAGACCAAGAGCAGACATCTACAATATGTCTCAATAATTTAGAAACAGCCCCTTCTATATTTGAAATATATCGTAATAAGAATAAAATAAAACAAATATGCGGAAGCAATTTCCTGCTTTTTTGTAAGAAAGCTAATTCAGAGTCGGCACTCGCAATGAAATTGCTGCAGAGATACAAAGGACTAATAGTCCTTTGCCACGTAAACTTAGGCAGCAAATTGTGAAGACATAAAACTCTTGTACAATCAGCAACGTAACCGCTGTAGCAACGGTACTGAAATTTTCATTCTTATTGTAATGGTATAAAGTCTATCGAAGGTTGCGCCCACATTTGCTCTGATATCAATGGGTGCCCAAAGTGTAGGTAACTACAGTAAAACACACTTTAGCTTATATTGCCCCACTAAAAAGCTCCTGTGGTAAATTTAGCCTTGAATGGGTGCGAAAGGGTCGCCAATAAATATAAAAAAGTCGTGGCTTGGAGGAGGCTAGTTACGTAAAAAGTTTCTGGGAATTTAACCTGCGTGGTAACATCTAATTTTCTCACAGGATCAAATGAAACTTTGGAAGTTTCATTTGCAAATTTGCTTTTCATTATTCTCTTGTTTTTTTATTAAAATTAACTGAAGCTTATATTACTGTTCATTATTGTTTAGAATAGACTTTTCTATAATCCCTATTGTTGACTATCTAATAGTGTCATGATATCTATATTCACACATTCCAGTTATGTTAATAATTTAAATTTTATTGTCTATTCTGACTGACTTATAATAACTTATAATCTATTATTGACTGATATTAAAATACTGTACTGCCGAAAGAGACATCCATACTAATATGAATGTCTTTCTGTCTTTTATACTTTTGTTATATCGAATGTGATGAAATCTAGAGACGAGATATAGAGATAATTTGACGCCTGGGAATCGATTAGAGCAGCTCGGTGGCGTAGTGGCTTAGCGTCGCGGCTCCTGATTATTGTTGTTAAGCAATTTTCGCAACGGTCTATTCCGTGCTTCGGAAGTCACGTTAAATCGTTAGTTCCGGCTGGAATGTGGATTGGAAGGTATTAGCATTTTTAGTTGCTAATACCTTCCAATCCACATTGTGCCAGCGTGGAGGGCCATGGCCCATCTTTCTTAACCATCCATTAGAAAGCCCCTAGACCCAGTAGAGTCAACGTAAAAGGGCTTTTTCTCAAAATATGCACACAATATACAGAAAAAGTTTGAAGAAATAATGACAGAGCTAAGAGTCTTAGAGAAGTCCTTATTAAGGATTAAAAGTCCTTAGAAGCCTTTTCCGGGTTCTGTGTGAAAACTTTTCATCGTTTCTCGTCGCTTAATTTATCGAGGGATGGCAGCTATAAAAATTCTCTTAAACCCTGTTAAGGATTACGAAATGACTTGGTCTTTTTCATAATTTTTCGGGATTGTCCAAAGTTTAAATAGAATTCATGATAATTCGTTGGCACTTGAAGAAAATGGCGACAGATGTTTAATCGAAACGAAATAAGTTTGGTATTTTGAATCTTTTCTTACAACAGTAATGCTTTATATCGAATGAAAATTCGTTATTATAATATTTTTAGCTACCTTTGATCATGAATATTTGATTAATCATTATGCCGTAATCTGATTCAGCGTTTACTATTTAGTAATGTTTATGCGCAGAAAAGGCTTTAAATTCATTTAGAATTAACAATATAATAGAATATAAGGTTACAATTACTTATTTACTTGCTAATAATTTAACTAACACCCTATGTAGAAAAAGTAACATTGTTTAATTAAGAGAGCTAATATAAATAGAGAAAATGTTGCTATATATCATTTAAAAAAGAGCACAAAGCCATCGTCAAATTTATTTTAAATATGATAGACAACAGAAGATGGTTACCTAATTATTTTTCATATAATGATGCATAACTTTAGTCAAAAAATTGTGCCAAAATCATATTTTAATTAATATAAATATTAGATATAATAATAATATTGCCATTATACGATATTAATTTAACTTGAAAATTGAAATTAAAAATACGAGATTACGAACATACACAAACAGGCAGTTCGGTGGTGTAATGGATAAGAACCGCAGGATGGGTAGCCAAAAATGTTATCTTGAGCTACTCCGTGATAAATCGTCCATAAAGAAGTGGAGACATAAAAGGGCTGATGATGATGACACACTCTCACACACACACACACACACACTCTCACACACACACACACACACATACACACACTTCGGTTGCCTTATTTTCTATAATAGTAAGATTTTATTTATTACATAAAATATGAGTTCTCTCTCTTTATATTTTCAACGATCTAAAACCTCAATTTGACTCCTTATAATAGTTTTTTATGCTTTAGCATACATAATTTTAAAGATGAAATCAAATTAAGATAAAGCACAAAGCAAATAAACATCAAGCATTAAGTTAATTACTTAACAACTTTCCTTAGCTTTTATGAATCGCGTATCGCAGAATTAGCTTACACCGACACGTAATTTATTATTCTGATTTGATTTAGGTATAACATATATTTATGTATTCATTTTGAGTGACTGACTGACAGAAAACATACAACAGAAACAACTGAGCTTAGAAAGTTGAAATTTAGAGTGAAGATTTCTTAGAGAGTGTAGAGGAGAACTAAGAGAGGATTTTTGAAAATTCCACCCCGAAGGTGCTGATTTATATGATGAAAGTTTGTATGAAACTTCGTTGCTACATGTGTTAGGAGTTTCAAATTTTGCATGCGGCTTCTTTTTAGGACGTAGTGCTCACTAAGATTTATTTATTTTACGAAATTCCACCCCTAAGGGGGTTAATTAGAGGATGAAAGTTTTTATTTATATTTCTCATTTCTGGACTTAAAACTAGACCACGCGGGCGAAGTTGCGGGCAAAAGCTAGTAATTAATTATAAGTATATTGCTTGCTGATAGATACTCGAAATAAAAATGATCGGATTACACTTTCATATTGAAGGAGGTTATTTTGAGCATAGGGAAAACTAGTTATTCAAACCCAAAATCACATACCGCTAAATATAGTTCTTCAGAAGTATTATCTATCTAAATTGTTATGAATTGTTTGCTTAATATAAAAAGATGCGATCGAGTTGACTCGTATTTTTGGAATGAAAACTCAAAATACAAATTTAGAATTAAAAAATAGCGAAATATAACTTATAAAAATAAAGTAAATAAATATAAAAACAGTAAGTATATTAATAATAAGATTTCTTCACGTTTAATTTAATGTACAACAAGCAAAATTTTTTAAATCAAATATAATAGTATTAAGAAAAATGCTTGATAAATATACGTACAAAGACAAATGTAACCAACAAAAGTAAACAAACAATCATAATAAAATCTAACAAATATAGAATTAAGCTAAAAGATATGTATAAATAAAGAAAGTAAAAACGTGATTAGAAAAGAATATAAATATACGGAAAACATGATCAAAAATGGATTAACAACGTAACAAATACATAATTCCTGTATCGACTAATCGCAGTAAAGAAAGAAAAGATGGAAGAACAGATAAGATTTGATATCGAATCCGGCCATTAAGGAATGAAAGAGAATAAGCAATTATAGAGACCACTGGGATGAAAGAAAAAGTATATACTGCATAAAAGGGCCTGCTACTATGTGTAGGTAAGAATATAAAAAAAAGTCTGATAATCTATTCTATTTCACTGATTTTAAGAATCCAAAATATTTTCAAATAAGTAAAGCGAATGACCATTTTAACCTCATATAAGTCCTCAACGAGTATCCAAATCGCTCTCCGGTTGTAAAGTTGCCGGCTATTTGGTCGAGAACTCGAAGAAAATGGGGGATTTCTTTCTACGGACCGCAATAACAAGGAGGGCAGGCCCGTTTACGATGGCCGTGGGCCCCAGATCTAATGCCGACGGATTATGGCGCAATTCTGGAACATTTGCACAGGTCATGGCTTGAACGATTTTTGCTTATGCATCGATCACTATCCATAATGGTTAAGTTATAAATTGAACAGACATCAAATATTCGACCACTTCCATAGTCGAGCCGTTTGCACGTCGTTTTCAAGGCTTCTCTAAGATCCCGGATTCGATTCCCTGTCAGGTCAATGTAGAAAATGGTATTTTCTATATTATCACGGTCTGGGTGTTGTGGTAGGAGGAATTGTTTTTCCCTATCACTCTGTCATACACACATATTACATGATAAAAAAATGTGACAAATGAATATTTGAAAATAATAACTAATTCTCTCCTGAAGGTTTAATTTCCAACAAAATTTTATTGGGCAATTCTTATTAATCATCGCATTGAGATTAATTACGAGTACTTATGTTAAAAGGGTAAGTAAAACCTTTCATTTTATGTAAAATGTAAATTTTTGCTACAATAGAATCTAATTATAGAACTTATTTAAAAGCAAAAATGACAGATATAATGGTATTTATATGAATGTATTATAAAATAGGTGCATGGATTAAGCAAAACTGTACCTTACTTATATATATATGAAAGCTGAAAGTTAAT